TGCTGGGGGGGCAATGTGTAGCCTGTATAATTAAACTGTAAACCGCCCGGAGAGTGCTTGTAGCGCTATGGGGCGGTATATAAGTCCAAAAATAAATAAATAAATAAATAAAAATAACCTCTGTCAGAGCGGGACAGACTGTTAGCAGATTAATTACATTTTGTGTTTTGCTGGCACTGTGGCCTTTATCAAAAGAAATATGAAATGACATGTTTAGGTCAAGCTGTTTTCTTTAATCATAGGGTGGATTTGTAGTGTTCAGCATAAAAAAAACGGTTGTCACCTTAAGGGTAGAATGAATGTGTTCATGACTGTCTGTCTCCTTTTGCCTTAAGCATCAGATGGCTTTACTTCAGGAACCTCCAGCACAAAATCCCAGTCATCTAATACTATTGCGCCTTATGCTATCAGTCTGCTGATGGCAACAGGTTAATAAGGAGACTAGTATCAAAAGGCACACTTTGGGCTAATTTGTCTTGTGTTTGCTGTGTGTTTGCTGTGTGTTTCTAGGAAGGATTTGGTACAGGTCAGTTTTATTCTGCCTCTTTCCACGCCACATTCTTACAGCAGCTTTTCCAGCATAATTGAACTTAATATTTAAGCTAATAATGTGAATATACCTTTTAGCGTAGCTTTCATATACAGTATTAAGATATTCAAGCCTGTTCCTGTGCATATTTATTCAGTGCCCTTGGCTGAATTTAACATGCCTTATTTCAGCTTGTGCATTGGATCACATAATTTTGCATAACTATATGAAGAAGCAGTCATCCTTAGTCTCAATTTAAAAAGAGGATTTCCACACACAGAACTCATCCCAGATAGATGTCCAAAAATGCAAAGACAGTGTTTGGGAATGAATGACCTGTATGCTGAAAAGGACTTTAGGAAAAAAATATCCAGGTATGTTTAAAAAGACAAACTGTGAGTCAGTAAATATTGGTCTCAACTCTTGGTGGCATCATGTAGAAGACAGATTTTGCTTAGAAGTGAAAAAAATTGGCTCATATTGTCTGGGAGATTCTGGGGATCATAGTCTAAAATCCTAATTCTATGGCACATAGAAATATTAGCAGTAGTGGTGATGGTGGGTTTCTGTCACCCATTCCACATTAAAATGCATGTAATGAGAATTGCTTCCCCCCCCCCGTGTTAAAAAAAGTCCATAGAAACATGGTGACTCAAACGTAAAGTGAGATAAAACAAGATTGTGTCCTGTTTTCTGTGCACATTTAATGGACATGGTTTAACTGGGTCTATGTTGACTGGGGGGGCCCATATCAAATAAAGACCATATCAGGGTTTGTAACCACGTGAAAGGGTGTGATCACACAGCATATAGCTCCCATTTTGGGCTGATTGTGATGTTGTCTGGTGGTAGCTATTCCTTAGTGATTACACAGCGTGTGAGGTATAGCTCTCCAGCCTGACCCTGATCTGTGCCAAAACTGGACCGTTTTGGTTCAGCAGTAGGGCTACTTCTTTCTGGAGCCAATGGGGGAGAAATTCCCTCATGAACGGAATGGTCACTTTAAGGGAGATTGCTCCTGGCAAAAATGCATGTAGATGTGTATCTTTCTCACAGTCTGACTGCACACAAATGTAACCTTGGGCCCAGACCTATTGCCTAAAAGAATGAAAATGAATCAAGTCTTAGATGCGTGCAGGGAGGTTGCAGGACTCTATTAAAGTTAAGCAAAAGGTAACATCCCATTTTCTGTAACCATGTCGGATACTAATACAATCAGCTCTTTAAAATGTCCAACACAATTATTTTGTGTTTATTAACTTTGTGCTTACTTAAATAAAATGTTTTTTTTGGGGGGGGGAAAGACCGTTGTTGTTACATGAAGACGTTTAACACTGTGTATAAATATTATATAAAATTAGAATGACTTTCTGTGAGGAACATGAAAAGAATATCCTCACTAGTTAAAACACATCATAACTAGATCAGTGTTTTCGTTCTGTGCATCCTAAGTCTACTTCATTAAGTTTACAAAATGCTCTGGGCTGACATAGTGAGATTCAGATTTAGAGCTGTTTAGAATGACCAGAGCTTAGTAGTCAATGGTACCAAAAGCCATGGTAGAACAGCTAACACTGAGCGGTGATCAACTTGCTGTACAATACTAAAAAAGGGAACATAAGTTATTTTTGGTACAAAAGCCTGAGAGTTTGCAGTTTTTTAAAAAAAATAAATAACCTGATAGTTGCTTTCTGGGCTGTTGGCTGCTTTCATAAGATAAATCTCAGCTTTATTCATGAGTCATACTGTTGAAAATAGTACATAGTGAGTACAGAAAATCTGTGGACACACAGTGGGGCAGACTTATGTTCTATGCTCAATTGTTTGAAAGTAAGGGCAGTGCAAAAAGAACGAGGCGGGGTACTGCCTGTTTGTCAGTCAAGCTCCTCCTTCTCGTTCTGGAGACGTAAGTGAAGTCCCTTCCTGAAACTTTCCTCTTTGGAAGAGGCCAGGGAAGGAAACTGAGTGAGCCATAATCTTGAGGCTGCATTTCATTTGGCTTTGTTTTCTTTTCTCAGTAGATGCTTGGTAGCTTCTCAGGTGCTTGCTGAAACTCTTCATATCACCACTGATGAAAGAGTGGGAGGAGATCTTTTCCCCCTCAGCTAAATGGTGTGAGGTAGCCATGACAACCAGAAAGTAACCATAGCTTACTGGTGGAGCACAGGCTACTTAAGAAGGCTGGTGGGGACATTATAAACTCACGCCAAAGTTTGCTGACCATCATTCAAATGGATCCATGCAGCTATTGGACTTGAAATCTCATATGCTTATATGCAGCATGACAAGAGTCAACATCAGTGTCCATACATTTTACCTTATATGTATACAAAACCAAAGGGCCTACTCATTTTCAGATGGACACACTTTGGAAACTGTGATTCATCAGACACAAAAAACTGAAGTTACAGTATGACAGTGAAATTATTTCCCAATCAGGAAAAGTGGGCAGGGAGTTAATTGAGGATGGAATCATATCTTGAGGTGATGCAGCCAACCACAGTGGTGGACAACACTGTCATCAACAATGATGGACATCATTAAACATGTTAAAACATTTTTTTCAGGGTGGCACAGGGTGGTTGGTCAAGGTCTGGAGGGGATGTGGCCTCCCCATACAAACCTTTGGAAGCTGCCTGTTCTTCTAGTCTCTGAAAACCCTGCCACAAAAATATGTCCAGCAGCCAAAATCTGCTCTTCCAAATGCACAAATCTAACCATTTATTTGCTGTGGGAAAAAGGTGGGCAAACATTGTCATCTAGAAAATGAGACTGCAACTTCTGCTAGGGCTGAGCATTAGCTCTGCTGGCTATGACTAACAGAAGTCTTGGTCTAACAACATCTGGAGAACCACACTTTTCTTGTTCTTGATCTGGAGCCATAGCGTTGTTAAGTTTTATAGGAGTTGTCAGGCTTCTCCTTGCGCAGCAAAGTAATCTCTAGAATGCTGTTTCATTTTTCTCACATGAAGTTCTGGTAGCATGAAAGCTGCATTTCATGAACAGAAAGGTAACTTTGCAGGGGTGGCTTGTAGGTTAAGAAGGAACGGCTGCTCTTATCCATTTTGTGAGCCACTTGTACATCTTTGAATCCAGCTCTGGCCCTTCCATCAAGGTCATGATTTGCTCACATTCCGTCTTCTGAGAAGATGTAACTGGAAGAGGGTTAAAATATAGAATTCAGCCCAGAGATGGCTGTAAGAAATATGATATAAACAATTTTTAAAAATCAACTCTCCATGTGAAGTGATATGTGAAGGGGAGGGCTGCATACCATTCAACATCATAATGTGCATCAAGACATGACGAAGTGAATGAATGCTGGAACACATATTTGGTGCCTTTTGTCTTGCAGACCCCAAATGGATTGCTGTTGACCCCAAGTCCTCTGCTTTCCAGCATTCATTTCTGGAGCAGCCTCAGTCCTGTCGCTCCTTTGAGTCCTGCCAGGCTGCAAGGACCAAACACCTTGTTCCAGGTAGGTGGGACCAATGGTGACTGCATCCCACGGGTGGATCTTTTTGGCAGCTAACCAAAGCAACTCCTGGCATGTTCAGGGTAGTATTATCATTGCAAACCAGGAAACAGAATGCGTGGAATAAATAAAATAATACCTCCCATTTGTTCCTGGTGACCAAAAACTAAAAATAGTTGATGAGAGAAGCACGAATGTTGTCAGAAAGCAGAATTTGTATGCAGTGGCCTTTGGAGCTTCTCTGGAGGCAGCTGAAAGAGGAGGCAAGGAATTCTCATCACCATTTTGCCAGTAGCATTGGCACTGCTCAGTAGTCAGTTAATTAACGGATTTATTAATTGAATTATTGATAAATATGTATGAGAACAGTTAGTGATAATACACATGCCAGAGTATTTAATATGAAGTGTATTTTGCTTTGTAGTGTGTGGCAGAACTGCCTAACTGATACAGTAATTGAAGAATGTAGGGCAACAGTGGAGAAAATGTGGTTTGCAAACTACATGCAGCTCCAAAGGGCTTCCCTATGACCTGTCGCCTGCCATTCGACCCCAGGTCTTCTGTTCCAGGTTAGCCTATCTAGGAGCATGATTAGCCATTTTACCACACTTCCCCCTCATCCACAAACTTTGGGGCAAAGGGGATCCCCCGCCCAAAAAAGAAGTAAACTGTAGGGGCTGTGCTTAGCCATTGTAGATCAGAAAATGGGTGCTAGTGCTGCTGCTGGTGGTGGTATCAGGCCTTTCCAAAGAAAGCAGATAGAATTCTCAGATCTCTGGATGCGGCCAATCCTAATCAGTGAAAAAGGCTGCACAAGAATTGTGAAGATTGCTGAGATGTATCTGGAGGTGTCTTAAGCGGTTGTTTAGAGAAAAGCTTTAAACTAGAGACATGAAGAATTAGTGATTACACCAAGCCCCACAATCACATGGCCTAAAAGGTTGTGCTTTCTCTCAAATGTGTTGGGTATAAAAAAATTGCTGACACAGGAAAAACTGTGCTTATCAATAGCAGGAAGCATAGGAAGTACTGTGTCAGGGAAGCACCTGGAAAAAACAGAGAGGACGTAACTGCAGAATTACCATGTTATTGAGCAGTGGGGGCTCGTGGGCAGGAAGGAGGGGGTGGCACCAAACTCATCCACTGTCAAGCATATTGCATCCATATGTTTCCATACTTTTAATTACAGTACTCTTATGTATCATCAAGTCCCCTTTAATTTAATGGTGACCCTATTAATGAGTGACTTCCAAAATCTCCTGTCCTTAACAGCCCTCCACAGCTCTTGCAGACTCAAGCTGTAGACTCCTTTATGGCGTCAATCCATCTCATATTTGGTCTCCATCTTTTCCTGCTGCATTCAATTTTTCCTAGCTTTTTTGTTTTTTCCAGTGAGTTTTACCTTTTCACAATGTGCCCAAAGTACAACACCCTCAGTTTCATAATTGTTGCTTCTAGAGAATATTCAGAGTTGACTTGATCTAGGACCCACTTGTCTTTCTGGCAATCCAGAAGGTTATTTTCCAGTTAACACAGTTTTTTAAAAATGCAAGCACATGTACCAGCACTACTATAGCATGTTGTCAACAATTAGGCAGGTTTTGGTATGCTGTCTTGTATTGCCTTTTGTCAAAGGAGTTGTGCTGTCAAGCTGATTTTTTTTACCTCTCTGATGCTCACAACCAGGTCATGGAGTCAAGTTCTTACTTTAAGAACTGGTGGCTTTAAATTTTTTTTTCATTTCACTCTTCCTGTGGTGTGCTACATTCCTTCCTTTTCTCTAAAAAACGACCCCAAAGTGTATAGTTATCGTCCCAAACTGCCATGTACCACAAGGCACTCCCTTGAAATACCATAGTTCTAAGTCGTTTGCTGTACTGTCTAATGTTTCTTTTTGCTGAATGTGACCACAGTCACCAATTATAGAAGATGAAAAGACAGTGCTTTAAGAGAGAGAGAAAAGGAAAGAGTTAAGTAGAAGGTGTTGAAAGGGAAAGAATGTGACAATTTCTCCAGATGACAGTGCACATTGCACAGAGGGAGACAAGATTCGAACTTACAGCCATCTAAGGTAAAGGTAAAGGTTCCCCTTGACATTTTTAGTCCGGTTGTGTCTGCCTCTAGGGGGCGGTGCTCATCCCGTTTTCAAGCCGTAGAGCCAGCGCTTGTCCGAAGAGAGTTTCCATTGCCACGTGGCCAGCATGACTAGGGAACACCGTTTTACCTTCCCACCAAGGTAGTACCTATTTATCTACTTGCATTTGCATGCTTTTGAACTGCTAGGTTGGCGAGGAGCTGGGACAAAGCGACGGGAGCTCACTCCATCGCGTGGATTTGATCTTACGATTGCTTGGTCTTCTGACCCTGCAGCACAGGCTTCTGCGGTTTAGCCTGCAGCGCCACCATGTCATACAGCCATCTGTCACAGTCATTATGAAGATGTGCTTTGCAGGCAGTTTTAGCTTTGTATAGATAGTTTTGTGTAGCTGGCTGGATAGCTCAGTGGTTTAGTTATCTGGCTGCACAGCTAGAGGTTGGGAGATCAATTCCCCACTGTGCCTCATGTGTGTAGAGTCAGCCTGCATGGGTTTGGGCAAGCTGCACAGTCCCAGGGCACCCCAGAAGAAGAGAATGGTAAACCACTTTTGTGTCTTCTCTACCTGACAAAACCTTGAAAGGTTTTCCGTACGTCAGAATAGATTTAACAGCACATGATTATTATTACAGATAGTTGTGGTCCGAAAGCAAGCCTGACTATATCCACAAAACCACACACATAACAAAGAAAGAAAGCTAAGAAGCAAATAATGTACTGTATGTTCATTCCAGATTAGCATGCAAGAAGCCAACCGCTGTCCACCCAGAACTGTGGATGGACACTCACTTGTACACACAGCTTCCACTGCTAGGTTCTTTGAAATACAAGATATCCACACTTGCATTGTGAAGTATAGAAACCCTTCTTTCTTAAGACATGACTTTTCTTTGCAGTAATCCTAAGGCTCTCTTTCACCTTACTTAACTTCTTTTATTTTTAGCATTTCATAATTTTGCACTTGATTGGAGACATCAAATTAAGATCAAATAGGAGCATCAATGGCTTGCCTTGCCATGAGAACCAAACATATCCAACAACCACGAGTGGTAACTGGAAGTGAAAAGGGGAATCCAGAGCCTTCACATCAGGGGGGTTTGTTTGACTAATGTGTGGTTCAGAGAAAGGCCAAGATGACAAACCTATTTGCACAGGAAAAGTGTTCTTCCTGCGAATCAAACCAGAAGTAGCAAGTATGGCTGAATATAAACCTTATCCAACTTACCAAATATTTTCCTGCAAAGGACAGCCCTCTTAAGATTGTCAGCTGTCTTCAGTTCTTATGGGTGAATCCTTTCTTGATCAAGGGTCCTTTGAGGGCAAAGGAGTCTTTGGTGTTTTAAAAACCTAATTGGTAGCTAGGCACATACATAGATAGGCTAAGCATATTAAGCCCAACCTTAATTTTCCCGACAAAGGTTACGAAGCAAATTACTTCTGCTCATAGGAGTCTGGTATTTTTCTTCCCACCCCCTCCACCCCACATATATTTTGACAAAATAAGGTATTTTCAAAGCAGAGAATAAGCTTTTGCCTTCTTTCAAAAGCATAAATCCACTTTTCTTTTTCTCCTGCTTTGGAGGCCCATTTATAAACCGGAAGCTAATAAGTGTGCTTTTTGGTTTGCAGTGAAATACAGTGGTGCCTCGCTTAAGGAGCGCACCGTATAACGATGAAATCGCATAGCGATCCGTTTTTTCGGATCGCTAATGCGATCGCTGAACGTTTTTGTAATGGGGAAAAATTCGCTTTGCGAAGATCAGTAAGCGTTTCGCTTACCGATCTTCGCAAAACGAACCCCGACGATCAGCTGTTCGGCGGCCAAAATGGCCGCCGGAAGCTGGGAAATGGCCCGAAATGGCCGCGCGCAGCGTTTTCGCGCCCTCGTTAAGCGAGGCGAGGGCGCGAAAATGGCTGCCGGCCATCCTGAAGCTTCGCTGAACGGTGAGTATTTGGCCTATTTGGAACGCATTAAACGATGTTTAATGCGTTCCAATGGAAATCGCTGCCCCGTTCAGCGATGCTTCAGCATAGCGAAGGTTAATCCGGAACGGATTAACCTCGCTACGCGAGGCACCACTGTACACAAATCCCTTTCCCCTTTGACGGAAATTTTTTTTTACTGTGAAGCCGGGGAATAAACATGACTCTGTGTGTCTGCACCATTATTACAGTGGTGTTTGCTTTGGAAGGTCAAATAGACAGCATGGCAGCACCTCCTTCTGTTTGTGTTTGCATCTAGAAGTGGGATGGGTGGGGTTTGTTACTGAAAGGAGGTTCCTGTAGTGAAGTCATGTCAAAAACCCCAGGGAGGTGAGGGAGGATTCAGCTGTGCAGATCAGAGTCATACATCCTCTAGGTCCTTTGATATTAAAATTAGGTTCTAGTACTGCATTTTATAGGTGATGGAAAGAGGTGAAGGTGGCAGCTATTGTACTTACTTTGACCCTGGGGGGAAAAAGATATATTGGCAAAGCATCCATGTGTGTCAGATAGAACTAAGTGGTATATTATTCTCCCCTACTAATCGGTTAGGTGAATGGGTGATGGAAAGAGGTGAAGGTGGCAGCTATCATACTTATTTTGACCCTGGGGGGGGAAAGATATATTGGCAAAGCATCCAGGTGTGTCAGGTAGAACTAAGTGGTATATTATTCTCACCTACTAATCGGTTAGGTGAATGGCAATCTTCCTTCCTTCCTTCCTTCCTTCCTTCCTTCCTTCCTTCCTTCCGGGACCCAAGCCAGCTCATAGCAATTAAAATCATACAATAATAACATGTTAAACATGGGTATAGTTTAAAGAGAATATTTAAAATATTTTAAAAAAACATTTAAATTTGATTCTAAATAATTAGAAATTGAAATAAAAAATTCTGATCAGGGTTTGAAAGCAAATGATGCTGACA